GAAAAGTGGGTAGTACCACAATTAGTTCTGGTACTATGAAAAGGTTCCTGCGGTGCGAAAGGCCCTTTATATTGAAAAACGACAGGTTGTGGAATGTGTCACTTTATGACATAATAGTGTGGCTAAGCACCGCCTCCACAGAAGATCAACGCCTGCTTCTACAGCACTGCTTATTTAGCGCCACCCACCGATTCGCACATGTAGTGTAAATAACGAGAGAGGCAAAAGCAGGTCTACACAGAAATCAAACGATAAAGATGGCTCCAAAGACAACAAGACAATGTACATTGCCAAGTTGAGGAAAACCACAGTCTTTGCATTGCCTTCCTTCTGATCCCAACATTAGGAAAGAGTAATTGAACTTTATTTTTAATGAAGTTACAGACCACGTCAGTAAGAAGTTGGTCCTTTGTTCCTTTCATTTCAGCATGGGTTCGTTTACAAACAAGGCACAATTCAACACAGAAAGACTAAAACTAAAGGATGCTTTGCCGAAAATATTGGATCCAACAGTAATGTCGCACCACACAAGCGGGAGTAACTGTTTTTATAACGTGATCACTATTGCTTTGTCTGTTATTACAGATCGTTTGATATGTACCGAGTATTTATGCATTTTTAATCTAAATCACAGCAGTGTTTATCTATGAAGGATGTAGGCTGTCAAACATACACAACTGTTAGCCAATCATAGCAGTGGGTGTTACTTCCGAGTCTACAATACGCCACGCCTATTCAAACAGAGCGTTCCGATGAGGGGGGTCAAAACAGGACAGAAAATAGCCTATTACTTCTAAATTATGTTTTCTGATGTAAATTTTTTTATAACATTATAAGTGGACCTCAGAGAACAGTACAACATAAAATAAAAAGGCTGTTCAAGACCCCTTTAAGTGGGTGATTTGAAATGCTGTACAAAAGCTGATTTTAATACAACAATGTTGAAAACAGTTGTGACGCTTAATGCTTGTTAATACTTTTTTTCCCTGCTTCATTCAGTAATGGTGGTGCTCCTTAATATTTTTGATGATAAATTCTTTGATGAACAGAAAGCTCAAAAGAACAGCATTTCTTTGAAACGGAAATCTTACGTTTTTTTATTGTTTACTTTTGATAAATTTTCAATTGTGTTAACTTTTAATAAATGTATTATCCTTGATGAATAAAAGTACGAAAAAAAAACTTTCTGACCCCAAACCTTTCAATGGTAGTGTATAAATATACATAGTATATAATAGATAAATATACATTGTGCACAAATTTGGGCTGAAACCGCTTTTAATTAACTAATTTACCTTTTTATGTTGATTCTTTCTAGCAATAATTAAATTAGTGAAATAATATATCAAATAACAATATATAATATATATAATTTAATTAATATAAATAATAAACATTATAATATAATATTATATATAAAAATCTAAAATCTAACCTAAAATGAGGAACATAAGCAATTTATCATAAACTGGCCAACAATACTTGCATTACCGCACTGCAGAGTGTAAAGAGCTTGTGTAGTACAGAAGCTAGAGAAAAAAAAAGTACAAATGCCAAAAAAGTGACAGGAAAGAAGAAAAATTGTTTTAACCATAAGTTGCTTATAGGAAGTGCTTTGTGTCCATGTAAGTGTCATGATGTATGTGGAGGGATACCTGGTCTGCTGTAGGTCTGAGGTGAGCGGGAAGGCGTATAGCGGCCATAACCCCCTACAGAGCTGTTGGAGCTGGGGCTGGAGGGCCTCCTCTGCCGGGGAGACTTTTCCCCATCTCCCTACAAACAAACAGACAGTATTTCAGTATATAATTAACAATGTTAAGCGGTAATCACTATGGCACTGGGACACACAGCAGGAGACTATAAAGCTGGAAAAGAAACACAGATGTGACCAGTTTACAATAATCAGTCCTAACTAGTAATAGGCTGATCATTGAGTGATTACACCGCAGAGTTTTCAAATGGTGAAAAACACACAATAACTGTTCTACTTCACAAACAACTGTTCACAAAATATGAGGAAACACAGGGTCTCGTTCACTAATCATGCACATATTTGTGTGTAATCACTTCAGAATTGTGATTCATCAAGTTCAGTAAATGTATTCTAATGTTTATTAATGGCAAATTATTTATTAATACTCCCTATGTATTTCAGAGCAACACATTATTAATCTGGCACAGATTCTGCATAAAAATCAGAAATTAAAATAAGAACCTTGTATAAATAGAAGAACACAATTTATATGCCATAATTAGTGAACGAGACCCACTGAAACAATAACAAGTCCTGTTTCTTCATGTCAACTCTACTATACCTCAGTTGGAGTAGGGGTGAGTTGCTGCGGTGACTGTAAACAAAGAAAGCTAATGAGTAAGATGGACTTGAATGCAATGATAGATATGTTCATGAAAAAATTAGATTTCCTCCTAACTAAGTTATATGACTGAAACTACTGTAATACATCAATTAATTAGTGAAATGATGAGCCAAAAGCCATGTTGCAATGATGTTGGATGATGAGTAAAGATGAGTACATTTAAAAATGGCATTATTGTAACAAATGTTGTAGCTGTCATACGAGTAATTATGCTATCCTTTTGCTTTTAAGTCACCTATAAAAGACAAAAAACTGTCAAAAATGAGAAACCGCAAATAGAGGACATGTATTTGTTATTCCCTCATGTAAGTCTGTATGAGCGTGTGTGTGTATGTACCTCTCCAAAAGTCCTATCCTCCACAGGGTAGCTAACATAGGGCGAGTATGAGAGCATGTCAGGTCTGTCAATGTTGTAGATCGCTTTGATTTTAGGAAGAGCAGCCAGGTCCTTGTAGTCCAGAAGTTCATCACCCAGCTTTGCCTTAAGAAAGAGCAACATTATGGCTTTATATATAACTCTCTCTACACATGCAGTTATTCTTAGCGTTGTGTGTTGCTGCCCACTGGTGGTGATCTTGAAGAAATGAAAAGTAATAAAGCAAGGAATCATTTTCAAATGCACTTACATAGATAACTCTGCTAGGGGAGCCCGATGCACTGGAGGCAGGAGCAGAGGTGATGCTCTCAGAGGAGGTTCTCCTCACCTGGAAACAAAAACAATAATGGTCTGCCATTTTTAAAATCAACAAACAACAGGCAACCACTGAGAATCTTATTACATATGCACTGACAATGTCTTCTCTATAGCAACACTTATTTTAGAGTACCTGCCCAGATTATGTTAAAACCTGTTCTTTGGTTCCTGATTTCTACTGTGTGGGAGTGACGGTAGCCTACGGTGGCCTGACAGGCCCATTTTGGACTTTAGTGAGTATTCTATTAAAACTAAAAGCTGGTTGGGAGGTAAGCTCATGCAGAAGGAGAGGGCCGCATGTCACAAACCTGCTCAGGTACATTGGAATGGAGATCACTGAGCTGAATCCGCACCTGTTTCTGCACGGAAAGGGTTGTTACAGTGAAGCGCTTCCACATACTGCATCTCACCTTTGTTTAACTAGCTGAATTTACTGTTGATGATGATTTTGCATAATATATTTCAGAGCATATCAGCTACCTAAACTATAGAGCATTTTGTAACATCTTAAACAAGCATCAATTTTTAGGGGCTGTCACTCATTCTCGCTGCTAGGAAAAAAATACCATAGACTTCAGTCTTTAATGACATTCAAGTCAATAAAAATTACATGGATCTGCTGTGTTTATTTGCACACGCTGTCTGCATTGTTTTAGTGCCCGATTCACTTAAGAAATTTTGTAAATCCGTTAACAACAATATATTACTGGGACCGTACAGCATCACTCCACTGCCATGATCCAGGCACCATAATTAGCGCTTTAAAAGCCAAAAGTGCACTCGACAACAACATGCATCTGAACATTTGCCCAATTACAACCCTTTTCTCCATTACTTATTGAATAACAGCTGCCATGACCAACTATTCAATCATTTTTCTTAATTAAAATGTATTTAAAATTCAGTCAACCCATTTTCTGTGGGAAAAAGTAGTGCGCTTTTTTTGGTGCAATATATAATTAGCCTTATTTACAAAAAGAAAATGACTGTTTCAGAGCATTTAGTTCCTGGTCATGTTGGATTGCAGGTGTCTTCATTTACAGTTTTACAGTTTGCTTAGTTTTACCTTACTCTTCTCCTCCATACGTGCTGCCTGTCTGCAAGGAGGATGCCAAATGGAAGAACCTGTGAAAGAAAAAGACACAAATAACTCGCAAGTCCTTGTTAAAAAATACGGTGGCCCTAAGAAGTATTTGACACTTCAGTCACTCAAAATGGCTAGAATTTCATTTTTCTTAACCATTTTTGCAATTACTTTCGACTAACTGGTGTCATTATTAGTGGATTTATGAGGTCAGCTGCCTTCAAGTTCAACTTCACACAGCATGATATTCACAGGTATAGTGCATCTCATTAATTATAAATACTGTATGTCACATTTGACAAACTTTTGTTCAAAAAGTATGTTTTTGATATTGTCTTTAAAATCAGGTAAATTTATATTTTATAGTCAGTATGATTCATTTTTAAAAGAATGAAATACTTTTATTTTGTAAGGATACTTTATAATAAGTCTTTTTTATATATATTAACTATTTCAGATGCTGTTATTCTGAACTTTCTATTCATCAAAAAATCCAGAAATCACAAAAATATTAAGCAGCACAACTGTTTTCAACATTAATAATTACAAGAAATGTTACCTGAGCACCAAATCAGCATATTAGAATGATTTCTGAAAGATTATCTGACACTGCAGACTGCTGAAAATTCAGCTTTGCCATCACAGGAATAATTTTATCTATTATAAAATAAAATAGAATAATAGAAAACAGTTATTTAAAATTTTAATATTTTTCACAATATTTCTGTTTTTGCTGTATTTTTATCAAATAAATGCAACCTTGTTGACACTTCTTTCAAAAAAAAATTTTCCCCAAAAAAATGAACAATAGTGTAGATTTTTAAAGGGGTCATATAATGCGATTTCAATTTTTTCCTTTCTCTTTGGAGTGTTACAAGCTCTTGGTGCATAAAGAAGATCTGTAAAGTTGCAAACACTAAAGTCTCAAAACCAAAGAGATATTCTTTATAAAAGTTAAGAGTTAATCACGCCTACCTAAAACGTACCTACGTCACGATCGGGTAAGATTTGCATTACGCCGCCCAAATGTTCACGCAAAGAAAGAATGCGTAACTTTTATTCTCACTGTAGTATTGTTGACGCTGCAGCCATGTCCTGAAGACATTGTGTGCTTCGTTGTGAAAGCGAAACTACTTTGTTTGGTCTTCCAAAAGAGGACGATATCCGCTTCGTCATGCCTAGAGCTGATCTGTGCTGGTCGCTGAGGAAATACATCAACTTTCACCGTGGACTAAGCGGAGTCCAGCCCGCCTCAGCTCACTCTATCCCGGCCTCAGCGCACACTAGAGATATTCTTTATAAAAGTTAAGAGTCAGTCACACCTACCTAAAACGTACCTACGTCACGATCGGGTAAGATTTGCATTACGCTGCCCAAATGTTCACGCAAAGAAAGAATGCGTAACTTTTATTCTCACTGTAGTATTGTTGACGCTGCAGCCATGTCCTGAAGACATTGTGTGCTTCGTTGTGAAAGCGAAACTACTTTGTTTGGTCTTCCAAAAGAGGACTAGAGTAGCACTTGTTGTTTGTCATTTCTCCGATCACAAATGCAGACTGAGTTTTATGTTTACGTGGCGAGATGCAATGCAACGAAACGCAACGCGTAAAAAGACAGTATAAGTCATTATAATCAGTAATTATGTCCCCACTGGATGCAACAAATGCCTTGTTTGTAATGGATTTTAATGTTTATGTCTCGTCGCTCCGGCCGGACACGGCATCACAGTATGGTGAGGGGCGTAACATTTCCGTCACACGCTTGAGGTATTCGGCCAAACACAATGCATTGGATAGCTGGCCAATCACAGCACACCTCGCTTTTTCAGACCGATGAGCTTTGTAAAAATCGATGCGTTTCAAAAAGGCGGGGCATAGAGGAGAAACAATAATGTACTGTATGTAATGTGGGAAATAATGTGTTTTTTTAACTTTAAACCGCATAAACACATTTCATTACACCAAATACACAAAAAAAAATTATTTTTAGCCGCATCATATGACCCCTTTAAGTGAGGCTTAAATTTTTTTGGGCCCACTGTATCTTTAAACTACTTCAGTTCTTAATTCAATAAAGATATTTTGCATAACTTATCTCCTGAGGAGTTGGACTATATCAACTGGCATTCATAAACTAAGTAACACAATCATTCACCCTTTGAATGAGTCAGCAGTCTTTCATTTTATTTTAGCCAGATTGAAAAAAGGCTTCTAACTTATTCTGCTTTCTGAAAGAACATCTGACTATAAATCTCCTTTGACAAACTGCAGTGCAGTGAGTTTCTGTGGTAAATCACTGTGCAGAGTTAAATGAGATACTGAAGCATTGCAAAGTTTGAGGTGGGACAAATAAAACCACATTTATCTTAGGATGTCAAATACAGTGGGGAAAAAAAGTATTTAGTCAGCCACCAATTGTGCAAGTTCTCCCACTTAAAAAGATGAGAGAGGCCTGTAATTTTCATCATAGGTATACCTCAACTATGAGAGACAAAATGAGAAAAAAAATCCAGAAAATCACATTGTAGGATTTTTAAAGAATTTATTTGCAAATTATGGTCGAAAATAAGTATTTGGTCAATGTTCTTTAGAATTTAAGACATCAACTATGGAATGTATTCTGGTTTTAGTGACTGGTCTGCACTTTTAGCTCCATATAACTGTCTATTGCTGTTTAAAATACAAAACAATCTATCCATTCTTGGTTTTGTGAGTACAGATGTGTTTTCTTAAGCATAAAACTCCACGTACACTAATACATATACAAATGATGCAAACATCCTTGTCAGTAGCCCTCAGCTTTGTCTGTTCCTGTCTGTCTGGTTTCACGGTCTAAATTTTGAGAACTTTGAAGAGGAAAATGTTTCCTTCAGCGCTCTGACACAAATCATCAAATTAAATTCATCTCTTTAACCTTAAAGGTGCAGTAGGAGATCTTGGAAAATGCTAACTTTAGCCTGATAGCACTGAAAGCGAACGTCCCACCCTCCCTGCAATCGCCGTCCAAAGCCACGCTCCTGAACGCATATACGCTCACAGACCAGAATACAAGAGACAACATTACTACAATAGGCTACATCAGCGGTTCCCAATTCTAGTCCTCGGGCCCCCCGCTCTGCACATTTCATGTATATCTCTTATCAAGTGCGACGTTTGTTCTATTCACCCGTAAGTGCCCTGTGAAGTGGACATCACCAGATATTCCGCCATGATTCCAGTTCGAAGCGAGCGTATATGTTCCATACAAAGGGCATTAAAGTGTGCGAGACGTAAATTTTAATAATTTTTATTTACAGAGGTATATTATGTCACACTTCACATCGATCGGAACACAGTTCATGCACGTAGTTCAATTCTAACGAGTTGGTTATCTGAATTAGGTGTGTTAACTAAGCGAGACATGCGAAATATGCAGAGCAGGGGGCGCGAGGACTGGAATTGGGAACCGCTGGGCTGCATCATGTGTCATTCACCGGTGAGAAAACTTTAAACATACTACAATACCAGGAAGGAAGACCAGGTTGTTAATGTTTGTCTGCCATTCTCGCTCTGTCTGCATGAACCGGGTGAGCAGAGGTATGCAAATACCTATGTTGACAGGCAGGTAGGAAATCCAATTAAAATGCTCGGACCGAGCGTTTTGATTAGACGAACATTTCTTGGTCCTACGCCTTCCACAGAATATATAAATACAGATAAATACATTTAGACCACTTAACTTAATGATTGCTATCAGGATGTGAAGAGACTTTCAACCAGCATAACAAAAAATGTATCTGAAGACAATCACCTATTACACCTTTAACTGTTGCTTATCATAGCCAACAATTCTTTTTTTTCTCTGATTGGATATTGTTATTCTTTTTTATTAATATAATCCACAAAACTGTCACATTAAAATAATTTACAAATGAAGAAACAATAGAAACAATCTTCATTGTATTGAAAGATTTGTTTTAATAACACATCACCAAATTTAAGTATCTGAATCAAATCATGTAAATTTGATGATATTTAAATTACCTTGCAGGTACATCTCCTCCCCCTCCCCAAACATCTGGTCACAACGTGCACATCTGGCACATGTGGGATGATAGTGTTTTTCTCCAGCCTGCAATAAACACAGAGCAGAACATACATCAGTCATTCAACTTCACTGCAGAAATCTCTCAATGACTATATATTTGTGTGTATATATTCATTTAGGTGAATTATTAAGATATTTGTCTTAATCCTCTTGACAATGTAATTTATTCTCATTGTCTAATGCAGTTCAAATGCAAATGTCATTGCAGTAGGCAGGGGGACACCGTCTGCAGTAACTGTACAGTAGAGGCACCACAGACAGAGGAGCTGGTGATGCAAAGCTGCCACACCTCACTTCTGATGGCCACATCAGTTTCATTTTAAAACTTTTACCAGACCACTGTGCACAAATGGCTTTCTGTATTGCTTGAGTGGATTTGCCTCAGTAGGTTTATTGTACTGTGCTGCAAAAAATCTAACATTACCTATCATTTTGAAGTACATATGTAAATTGCAAATGTAAATACATATCATGATAGCATTTATCATACTGAATTTGTACTGCTTGAAAATATGAAAATAATGTCAAATACAAAAATAAATAAATAAGAAAATACTTTTTTTCCCTTTTGACCTTGGGGTGAAATATTATCCAAACAATTCATTCTGAGATTGACTCATCATTATAAATGGGCATTTGAGAGACAAAGTGACAGATAACATGTCATAAATAATGGTATTGTTATATTTTATATACACTACCATTCTATTATTCAGAAGTTTGGGGTTGGTAAGATTTTTTAGCAAGACTGTTTTTGAAAGAAGTCTCTTATAAGGCTGCATTTAGTTGATAAATAGAGTAAACACAGTAACGTTGTGAAATATTTTTACTTTCAAATAGTTTTTTCTTTGTTAATATATCTTAAAATGCACTTTATTCCTGTAAATACAACATTTCTGTGATGCTGAATTTTCAGCAGTAATTACTCCAGTTTTCAGTGTCACATGTTCCTTCAGAAATCATTCTAATATGTTGATTTGGTTCTCTGGAAACATTTCCTATTATCAGTGTTCGAAACAGTTGTGCGGTTTAATATTTTTGTGGAAACCGTGATATATTTTTAAGGATTTTGTTTAATAGAAAGTTCAAAAGAACAGCATTTTTCAAACATAAATCATGTTTTAATCATCTCTTTACTGTCAACTTTTGATCAATCTAATGTGTCCTTGCTGAGTAAAAGTATTAATTTGGGATCTTACTGATCCCAAACTTTTGCATGATAGTTTCTCATCAGATAAAGGATAGAGATAAAGTCTTGTCCTTAATTCTCTAGCTTATTCTCTCTAGCTTTCTAATAATTAATCTGGTTATCAATCATTTTAGTGTTTCTTAAAGGGATAGTTCACCCAAAAATGAAAATGCTGTCATCATTTACTCACCCTCATGTCGTTCCAACCCTGTATGAGTTGCTTTCATATGTTGAACATAAAAGAAGATATTTTGAAGATTGCTGGTAATCAAACCGTTGGTGGTTGCCATTGACTTCCATAGTAGGAAAAAAATACTATGGAAGTCAATGGCAACAATATTCAAAATATCTTCTTTTGTGTTCAACATAAGAAAGCAACTCATACAGGTTTGGAACGACATGAGGGTGAGTAAATGATGACAGAATTTTCATTTTTGGGTGAACTATCCCTTTAAGAACTCTGTTGGGCTGTAATTTTGCACTTTTCCAGGTTAGAGTCTTTCCAAAGTCTTTTCCAGGTTAGTTTTAGATTATGAGGTAAATAGTTCTAGAGTGTTCTGTCCACCCAGAGAGAGTACAGATTAGTCAAATCAATTTCATCTTTTATATTTTCCTAAGATTCCTGTCATCCATTTTTCATCAAACTTCAATAAGTCCTAAAGGACTCATCTATGATCGGAAATTTTCAGCATGCTGTGTCACATTCCTTTTAGTGTTCAGCACAGCTGTTGATTTAATTTCTCATGTATCAAAACCTGCACTGGAAAATCTACTCAGCCCCCTCCTCTCTCTCCATTCTCTTTCAACACAGTTACAGTCTTGCCACTCAAAATGTCATGACATTTCAGGCTCAGATACAGTTCCCAATCAATGCTTCAGAGTAAACAGGGGCCTGAAAACCATGCTTTTATTCTCTTTCTGTTACAAACTGTACAACAACAACAAATTGTTTAAAAATCCCCTCAAATACGCAATAAAAACCTTTACCTTTAATTACCTCAATACCCCGATGCTGTTTAGGCTTGTGAACTGGCATTACTCCTGAAAGGTGGGCTAATTATTCTTGCTAACATAAGGATACCTGTATCAACTAGTCTTCAGTTCATGTAAAAAATGTTGCCAAAGGCAAATATATATATACTGTATGCCAAGATATTGTTTTGCATGACTTCATTTAATTTACATCTGCTCAAAGCACTTGGCGTGGAAATTGTGCAGTTAAAACTACCATCCTAAACAATGATGTCACAGTGATTTGAACTAATTTTGGGTTACTGAGAGCAAGTGGCAGTGCCAATGGACAGTCACTATAGCAACAGTGTCCCACTCCTGACACACACAGATACACTTATTTATAGAGCTTCAAAGTACACAAAGCTGTAGTTATGTATGTATATGTGACATATGAAATACAAACCTAACTTACAATTATTTCTACAAGCAATTCTTATTCATATGAGACCACCCAATGGGAAACTTAGCAGATACAAAAAAAACAACTACATCAATAGGGTGCTTGTTAGGGTGTAACAAAATAGCTGTTTAAAGAAAAATGAGGAAGAGTTTGCATGTAAGAACAAAAGAGAGTGAATAAAACAGAAAAAGTGAGAGGGAGATGCAATATGAGGACATATATTGTTCTATACTGTAATTAGGCTTCAGATGGGTTGTGAATTGACTGTCTGAGATTGTCTTTGTAAGCACCCACTGAGTTTCTGCCCTATATGACCACTGGGATTATAGAGTACAAGCCTGAGGCATTAACGATCCATTTTACTCATGTGACATATTTCAGAGTGAAACAGAATATTTGATAAGAAAAGCGGGACTTAATAGTATCAATTGGGAATAAACTGCGTCATGATATGTGGCCAGAATCACACCAGAATTAGTTGTGTGGCTTTATTTCTATGTCATTTCACTTTGAGACCATCTAGGTTTTATGCCAGTGCACTCTTAAAAGTTGACCATTTTTTTTAGCAGAAATGCACAAGCAGGGCTCAACGCTTTCTTTTCTTTTTAGGAGCACTTGTACTCCTAATTTAAAAAATTTAGGAGCACAGTCGAAAAATTCAGGAGCACCTTTTGATCAATAACAAAAATTAGCCTTCCCATTACGAGGTGATTTCTGACTCCTTAAAGTGATTTACAGGGGCATTTTTTTGACCTTTGTAATTACATATTTTCTAACTTTAGTAAAATTATGTTATCTTTGATGTCAAATTAAAAAAATGTATAAGCTTTTTCAAAATTTCTAATTAAAGCAATATAATAAGAACAAGTAGAATATGAAAAAGTTAGCAATCAAATGAAATCAGCATTAACAAAATTAATTTGCACTACAGAGCTGGCACAGAAGAACACAAAAGTGGCTTGTAGGTACATTTTCAGACATTCAATGAGGCTCAGAGGTGGCATGAGTGCATTTAAATTAATAAATTAATGTTGAGATTAATGTTTTAAATATAAAATTTTGAATATAGAAATATGAAATGATTTAAATAACTGAAATTATATTTTTAAAATGAAACTAAAACTGCCAGTTGGTGGTGGCAAGTCACTGATTTTATAACTGAATCATTAATTCAATTGATTAATTCGAACTGCTGATTATAAGTGGGGCTCAACACTTCGCTGTGCAACTGGCTGTTGGACTTTCTGACTGGAAGACCTCAGGCAGTACGGGTCGGCAGCAACACATCCAGCACCATCACACTGAATACTGGGGCCCCCAAGGATGTGTGCTGAGCCCCCTCCTCTTCACTCTGCTGACACACGACTGCACACCGTCACACAACTCCAACCTCTTCATTAAGTTTGCGGATGACACGACTGTGGTGGGTCTCATTAGCAACAGAGATGAGACAAACTACAGGAGCGAGGTGAGCCGCCTGGCCGGGTGGTGCAGTGACACGGAACCCGTCTCACCCGCAAAGCCCTCTGCATTGCAGGTGATCCCACCCACCCGACACACAGCTTCTTCAGTCTGCTGAAGGACTGAAGGAGGAGACTGCGGAGTCTCCAGGCCAGGACCAGCAGACTAAAGG